GTCCTGACACGATGATCGTCGTCGCGGGCGTTGTGTGGCGCACCGTCTCGATCAGGCTCCTGAAGTCCCTCTTCAGTGTCTCCGTCTGCCGGTGTCATTAACCCCCGTGTGAAGCACGACCGCTCCGGGGCTCTTGTCTCCCTTCAGGATCGCAGGTATCTGCGCAGAAATATCGAGAACACGAGCACCAGGGAAACCAGCTAACGTAGCATGGACGTGCCGGACGATGGAGTCTCTGACGATCACAGCGAAGCGGTTCCGTGTGGAGATCTCGAAGACCGGTGGTGGCGGAGGGGGAGAGGTTGTCGCCCGGGGCCTGGCTCGCGTCTTCCGGTGCGGGTGCATCCAGGGTCCATGGTTTCCCGGCGCCGGAGTGAAGGACATCTGGGAAGATCACATCCTGGGTGCACCGGGCCTGTGCAGAGAAACACACGGAGTAGAGGTGGTGGGAAAGTTAGCAGCGCGCTGTATACTTACCCTGGACTTGTGAGCGTCAGCCCGGGATGTTTCCAGCGCGGCTCTCAGCTAGGTCTGCCTCTCCACCAGGTCGCGGATCTGCTTCTCCACGGCCTGCAGTTCGAACGTGTCCTCACCTGCACTCAAAGGTAGACACACATCCACCATTAAAGCAAGTAACAGTGAGTAAAACAATGGTAATGTGTGTGAATAGAGTATTAGCAATGTAAGTGAGATTAGCGGCAACCACGCTGGCGATGCTAACGGGCTATAAGCTAATAATGGACTCGGGAAATCAAAATAAAACTAGTGATAACAAGGCACTCTGATTGTTTTTGTTGTAGAATACAATAGGGGATATATTCACACATTATATAAACTAAAATGATGGTGTATAAAATTGATTTTAAGATAAAAAATAGACTATAAAGAATGAACTTGACGGAGCTCAAACTCAAAACACACGGCAGCAACAAACAGGAAGTGACGTATGTATATTTTGTATAGTATGCAAAAAAAAGTTTTATATTATGTTAGGTTAATTTTTTTAAGTGTGGAAATGTCTGGTATTACTTTTAAGCACATACCATCTTGAGTGTTTCTTCTAGTTAAGGCACATCTTCTACTAAGTGTGCACTGACTAGTCTCCCTAGGGGAATTCCAGAAGGCCAATGGAACCGTTTGACCTGTTGTCTTTGTCACTGATTAGCTTTTAAGTTTTTCAACACACCTTTGTCACATTGAACATTGTCAGGGACATTGATGAAGCTTGGCAGCGTATTAGACATATAACCTCATTTTAACCTCAGAGAAGTGAAATGTTCTCTGCTAAAACCCCAGCCTGCTATCTTTATTGTTGTTAGTATTTCATATGAACGATAAACACAATTCAGGCTAATTAATATGTGTTTGTTTTTATGTTCTAACCAAAACATTTTAATAGAAAACTGAAGCGCCTCGGAGGCCTGTGAACTGCAGGGCCTCGGTTTGCCAACTCCTTTTATCCAATTAGGAGAGAGACTGATTGGTCTTTGGAATGCATGCTGTGTTTAGGTGTTGCCTCAATGGTTATTCTCAGATCATAATAAATGTAGTTCAAGCATGATTGGCTGTAATGGGTTTAATAGGCAGGTTATTAATCGTCTGAATGTGTAGGATGGTGGTTGAATGGAATTATGGTGTTGGAAATACTCGGGCAGAGGTGTCAGTTTAATTGATTTTCACATCAGTGAGACAGGAGACAGCGAGAGAGTGAAAGGAAGTGTGGGAATTAGAGACATTCATGCCAATATGATGAAATTGTTGCAATCTTTCATTCATTCCATATATAAACATTTTGTTTCAAATAATGTTGCATTTGAAATGTACTATATGCATAGGCATAAATGTTTGAAATTATTTTTGTTCATAAATATAAGTTGTGTCTATGTATACATTTTATTACAAAACTGAAAATGTATTTTTTGCATTTTAAGTTGCATTCATAGTCTACTTGGCTTAAAAATTTGAGGAGGATTTTTAAAAAAAGTGTTTGTTCAAATGTACATGATGCTACTGACCTGTGTATGGGCACATATGGACAGATATTACGTGTTTTATGACCTTCATCACAATTGCAAACCAAAACAGGTGCCATATCCTTTGGTTTTACTGCAACTAAGTTTCTTACCCACAGTCATTTTGATCTGTTTTTTTGCCCCCTTGAGTTTTCAGCTATTTTCTGTCATTTCTTGGAGCATGCTGGTACCATGGCATGGAATGGCTCTTTGACTTTTTTGTTTTGTTGTTTCCCCTCAGAAATCAGACATTTTCTCAGCTGTTAAATTGCACTCGCGTTGCACTGAAGGGAAATTAATTACTTTCTTTCTCCGCCTCCCTCTTTTGGAGGAGAACAAGAATAAGGGTCACCACAGGGGAAAATTCACTCCTTTTGCCACAGAAGTCATTGCGTTCTGTGTGTGTGTGTGTGTGTGTGTGTGTGTGTGTGCTCACACACCTGGTTTCAAGCCCTCTCTCCTTCTCCTTCTATCTCACTTGCTTTGTTTTTTCATGTTTAGCCCTTCTGCTATTCGTGCATTCTCCTGCCAGCTCTCTCAATCTGTAAACATCCTGTCTTTACCTTTTAGTGCTGTAGCCTGAAAGATGTTCTGCCTTTCAGATTTAGTCTTGGCTTATGATTAGCTGATAAGCCAAATACTTCATCTTCTGCCTTCAGTCTCAAAGATTTGCATATTTACTGTTTGGTCATGCATTTTAGTCTTGTGCTTGGTATAGCTGTTCAGTTCACAGTCCTAAAAACCAGGAAGTGAATTAGCATTTTCAAGTCATGGATTCCCTCAGGAAGTTTTAATGAGTCTGTGATTAATGTTAACTTCCCCTTTAATTTTAATATTAATATATTAAAGTGACAGGGAAAGTGACATGAAGTGTAGCCAAGAATGGTGTCCCATACTCAGAATTTGTGCTCTGCATTTATCCTATCCAAGTGCACACACACACACACACACACAGTAGTGAATAGTGAACAAACACACACGCACACACTCGGAGCAGTGGGCACCCGGGGAGCAGTTGGGGGTTTGGTGCCTTGCTCAAGGGTCTCACCTCAGTCATGATATTCAGTTGTGGAAGGAGAGCTGGTCATTCACTCCCCCCACCTACAATCCCTGTCGGTACCGAGATTTTGTAGACATTTCATATTTATGCAGTAAGTTGTTTTAAAATGGCTTTAAGATTAACATTTGAAGTATGGTTTTGCGTAACTTATGTTTTAGAAACAAAACATAAAATGTGAAAGTCTCTTCAAGTAATGTTAACCACAAATTTGACTCATAAACCACTATTTTAAAACCACATTAGTAATTCCAGAGGGAACCTTAATTAGCATTCAAATTAGCATTCTGAATTGGCCTTCAAATAGACGTCATGAATGAACAGCTCTTTATTCTTTTTCCGTTTTGTTTTAATTCTATACATTTTTATTTCCCCTGGGAAAAGTACAAAAGACATGCAACTTTCTCTCTGCTTCCTTCCTTTTTCTCAGTGTGAGATGCAAGATGTTGAGAATGAGGAAAAGCGAAACTCCTTGTTCCTGGAACTGTTGGAGTCTAGCAGTAAATGGGAGGAGTTTCAACACCTTATGCTCCTCCTACAGGCGTGGCCACCAGTGACTGACAAGAGCAGGTGAGACTTTGGTGTTGACACTCAATTTCCAATTTAAATATTCACTTAAAAAACTTATTATATAAGGTATAATGTACAGTCAGCTGGTCATTGTCACAAAATGAATCCTGACAGGATGATTAAGAGAAGAATCAGACCAGTTAAAACTACATTATCCCACTAATTACACAGATACTTAACAGATAAATAAAACATAATGAAAAATGTAGGAAATTGGTTGCCAGAGATTGCAGTCAAAGCTAATGGTCATTATACTAAATATCTGACTGTAAGAATGCCACGAATGACCAATCAGAAACAAGTATTTTAGAGAGACCAGTATACATGCAATACGTATACATCTGCCACAAGCTGAATTTATTTTTCAAAATAATATCCTTATGAATCTCTGTTGTTCTTTGATTTTCTTTCAGAAAGATTTTTCCCTTCTCTCTCTCTCTCTATATATATACTGTATATATATGTTTTCTCATTAGATGTCTTTGAGTTGGAGTACTATTAGACCATTAAGTGTGATTGTAGGTTTGATGAGGTCAATTGTTTTGTATTATATAACTGAATGAGTTTTTGAGGTTAAAGTCGAGGCTACCAGAATGTGCGCTGATGATCGGAGAGCTGTTCTGTATTCGGATCAATAGACAGAAACAGGGAATATAAGCCAGCTGATTATGCATTGTGCTACGTTTTCAAATGGCTTGAGGTTTTTTTGTTTTCATGAAGACATTTGAATTAACATTCTTAGAGAAGAACAAAGAGGGTTTGTGTGTGTGTGTGTGTTAATGTGAGTTTTTGTGTGTTTGTCATTATGCTCTTTGGCATTTAAACAAAAGGTGAGTGCGATAGGGAGTCAAATGTTGAGAGGATAAAGGAGAGCTTGACTATACATTCATGTATTCACAGAAGTTCACATGTGACCATGTGCGCCATTTGTGTATCATCACTTAAGATTCAGACGGCACATTTGCTGTCTCCTGAACACCTGTCTTGTCGCTCCTCATTCTGTCTTGCTTTAGTAAGTCCCAGAAAAGGCCATCCGAATGGAAATCAATTGAAATCGACACACCGCAGAGCTCTGGGTGGCAGCCTTTTTCTTAGAGGATACATAACACTGGCCACGCCATGATCCTTTTAAATTATCTCTAATGTTTTTCACATTAGAGCTCAGCAGTTTTCATTCAGTAGAACCTTTGCTTGTAGAGTCTTAAAGGGATAGTTCTGTTGTCGATTGCTCACCTTTATGTCATTACAAACCTGTATGACTTACTTTCTTCTCTGGAACATAAAAGAAGATTATTCTTTTGTGCATACAATGGAAATGAATGGTCACCAGAACTGTTTGGCTACCAACATTCTTTAAACCATCTTTGTTGTTGCACAGAAGAAAGTAAGCCATACAGTTTCAGAATGGCACAAGGGTGAGAATTTTAGGTGAACTGTTCCTTAAATTATTCTCCTAACAAGAGTTGAAATCGATGTTCTGGTGGTACTTTTAATTTATATTCATAAGGTCTCTAAAGATAAGACAGTAAAAAAAACATTTACTCTAATGTCGTTCTAAACTTGCTGTTGTTTTTCTATGAAATACAATATGAGAATTTTGTCAAATCTTGGTGACCAGTTAAATTACAGAAAATGGCAGAAAAGAAAAAGAAAAACATAATAAAAGTGGTCTATGCCTCATATGCTATAATCTTCTGAAGTCATACGATAGCTTTGTATGATTTAAGTCAACTAAATCAAGTATAGTAATGGCATAGATTGGATGTCACTAATATCAAACATAATTGGGTTTTGCATTTCTTGTAACCAAACACCACAATGTCAAACCTGCTTCACTGCCTGTGATTTGAGAGCTGTAGCAGCTCAACTTAAATTTTGTTTTATGACTTTAGAAGACTTGTAATACAGTGCATGAGTCCCAACCTTTTTTTAGTCGCGGCACCCTTTGGAAATTTTAACAAACTTGTGGCACCCTACAAAATTAATTTTGTCACAATATTTGAATTTCTAACTTTGATATGATAATTTGAAAAGTGTAGATATTCGGTACAACAGGGAAAAACTGCAGAATATAATGTCATACAGATATTTTTAATATTATTAAAAAAAATTGTCCATCAATGGTGGCAATCAGTAGGCTAATTTCTATTGAAGAGACCAATTTATATGACAGATTTTAATGTAGGCTTTTATACATATGTAAACATTATTTAATTACCATTATAACTAGCTATCTCACAAATTTTTGCTCACTCAATGTTTTTTTAATTTTACAGTGGGGTAATTTTGGTGCAGTAGCATAAAAAATTACAAGTAAGCAGTCAGTAATAAAATAAGAAATAAAAAAGAAATTAATAATGATAGCACAGCTGTTCCGATTCGCATGAACGGTATACGAGTGGAGCGACAGAGCGGAGCGCACACGCATAGAGCGGGATAATACGCAGAGTGTCACACCACGTGAAAGTGAAACCTGAGTGGTGAACTAATTTTCGGCAGCCGAAATTTCGGTGCATCTCTAATTATTGGCGACATCAGAAATTGATATTATAAAATAGATGCTTTTCTGAACATTTGAGCAATATAAAAATATTTTAAATTTTTTTTTTTTTTTTACACGGCACCCCTGCTCTCGACAGACGGCACCCCGGTTGGGAAACACTGATATAGACCATTTTAGGGCACCTTTTATGGTGCTTTTGTAGTTAAAATCATCTAGGTCTAGGTGAAGATTCTGAAGATTCTTTGAAATTCTCTGTTTGTGTTAAAATGGCAGCATAGGGGTTTAAAAACGACATGAAGGCGAGTAACTGATGAGAGAATTTTGCATTTTTTAATGAACCTTTCCTTTAAAGAAGTTTTTATAGCCAGTCTATGTATCCTTTAACTACTGTAATGAATGTAATTTAGTTGTCCAGGTTCCTTGTAACTGTGGATTGTGTTACTATCTATAGTACTGTTGAACACATTCTGTGTATGAAAGGCCAATTTCAATTATAAGTGGAATCAGTGTGTGTGCGATTGCATTTGATTACGATTATGTGTTTATCTCAGTTGGCAGTGGAGTTTGTTAGAAAGCTTCTCTCATTTCTTGTAAGAATTCAGGAGATAAGCATATGCGCAGTTTTGTAGCTGCACGCGTGTAATATGCCATGATAATTATGATTGGATTTATTTTTTATTATACAGACACTTTCCTATTAAAAGTTTCATGGTGCAACATGAACATTCATGATCCTTATTTCATGTCATTACATCTTTAGCACTGGCCTGTTTTTGTGTGTTGGTCTTCTGAACACCTTCAGACACCTGTGTCTCTCTCTACACAGGTTGGAGACGGAGCAGAACCCTTGGGTGTGTCTTACATCCGCCCTGCTTGCATACTCCTCAAGCCTTGCTCAAATCAACATCGGGAGTCAGGTTTTAACTATGTGCCGATCGCTCTACCCGACCAAACACAAACTTAATCCCCAGGTAAGAGTGTGGGTGTCATCATCACTACACACAAACAGCACGTTTAAAGTCAAAAAAAGAATGTGTAGATGCTGAAAACACTCCTACCTTTGTAATATATCTCTGTGCTTTTCCTGTAACGTGTTACTGTGAGTTTGGCTTTGCTATGTTGATTGTAGCGTGACATTCACACTTCACTTGTGTTTATTTTAGTGCGTTGGGTACATTTCCTCTCTGCTGTTGAACGCTGGGATTAGGCTGCCTGCTCTGAAGTTGATGACAGAGAGCGAGGATGAGCATCTGCGCAAACTGACGCAGGATCAGATCAAAAACATCACTGATGTAAGTTTCATTCTGACTGCGTTTTCTTTTGCAGGCCAAATCTGGTGCTCGGTACCCACAAAGTGGACTTTTTGAGAATTCAGTTAAGCTGCTTCATGCATTTCCATTGATTATGTGTTTTCTGGGAACCTAATCCATGACTTTGGTGTTTCTAATTCAACAATTAACAGTCAAGGTACAGGAACAATGTTTGACAAAATTTATGAATTTTAATCTTCATTTTGAAGAAACCGATACTGATTCTTTAGTTCCAACATCACTCTTTTAGTCTATGCTGTTTTCTGTTGATGTGTGAATAAAACATCACTAAGCATTACTAGTAGCATGCCTGGAATTAAATCTTTATATTTCAACAACGAATAGTTATATCATTAAAAAGTTTATATAAAAACTGCCTTATGTGAAATTTAAATGTTTTTATACAACTCCGTTTCTAAATCAAAAAATAAATAGTAATTGAATTTGGACTGTTAATTTTAATCTTTAGTATTATAGTAATGTACCAACTAACAGGGTTCCCTGTATAGTTTACAGCAGTGGTTCCCAACCCTGGTCCTGGAGGCACCCCAACACTGCACGTTTTGCATGTCTCTTTAATCAAACACACCCGATTCAGGTCATCAGATCATTAGTAGACTCCAAGACCTGAAATTGGTGTGTCAGAGAAAGGAGACATGCAAAATGAGCAGTGTCTCAGTGTCCCAGGGTTGGGAACCACTGGTTTACAGCATTAGTTGAGAGATTGTATTCCATAAGAAAAACTGACATGTAACTGATATATATCTTTAACGTTTATATTTCTTTAACGTTTCAACTTATTAAATGTTTCAGTTATTTACCAACACATTTAGAATTTTCATTTAAATTTAAGTTTTTCATTACTTTTTTTTCAGCTTTATTTCAATTAATGAAAACGATTTTAGTTTTTTAGATTTAGTTTTAGTTTAAATTAACGATAACAACATTGCTGCACTTATAATGAAAGCGGTAGCCACATTGTTCACTTGCAGAGTAGATGAGGTTTAAAACTATAAAAAATTACATTTAATTGATAGATTAATCAGATTAAATTATAAAAGGTTTTAGTGATGTTAACATAGTTGAGTAGGTCACAGATTGGAGAGTCTTTTACCAGGCCATTTTGTTCATTGGCCCATGGTCATTCAGCATTTTCTACAAGTGACCTCTAGGCTTGCCGCGATAGACGGTGCTGACGGTGATACCGGTGTTAAGATGCAACGTCACTTGCCCACCGCGTCACCGACCCCCACCGTCGTTTTCATTTATTATAGTAATAAAAATCATCATCAGTTGATTCATCAATCATCAGTTCAGTAAAAGAACAGACACTACAATTAAAAACTGAACGCGGCTGCTCAATGCAGCGACAGTCACATCACAGATCAGATTTCATTTATCCAGTGAGGAGAGTGAGTCGAGCTGACTGACAAGAAGAGTGGGGTGAGACGATCGCGGCTGATTTAGTTTCAAAACGAAATGCAAAAGCGCCTGTTTGGCAATATTTTGGATTTTGAAAAGCCTGTTGACTTTTGCCGTTTATCTGATTTTGGAAGGTTTTTTTAAACATCCATTTCCTATTTAATTGGTTCCACATTGTTTGCTGATTTTTACTTTATTTAAACTTTGTGTCATTTATTTATTTTATTTGACATCAAGGTGTATGCCATGCCTCCCAAGCTTTCTTACTCGTTTTGTTATTTAAACTTTATGTAAGTTATTTGTTATTTTATATTAGGCATAGCCTGCCCTATAGCATGGTATATTTTTTATTTGTTTTGTTAATAAAAGTTCTATGTTTTATATATACGCTAAAGTGAGTTTGACGTTGTATTTTGTTGTTGCATTCAAGCAATTGATGCCGAATTGCCGCTAATTCGATAGTGAAAGTAAAATGCGCACAGCTTTTAAATTAAGCTATTTAAAAGCGAAGGAAAGCGAGGAAAAGAGGGAAAGTTCAAACGAACTGTAGCAAATCAGCTCATGGTAAATATGAATAATTGATCATAACTAGTTATAATTAATTATGAATATTTTAGATCCGCTGTAGATATTTAGCTGACCTCTCAGGGTCAACTGTCTTGTCAATTCTAAGAACGTTAATTTCCTGGTTAAGGGAAATAACTTCCTTACTGTACAATTCTACAAAAGCTTGTAGCATAAATCTGCATGATTAAGTGACTCCAGTTATGAGCAAACAATGAACCACGTCAAGTGTGATACAAGTAAGGCTTTATTAACTACAAATCTTAACGCAGTAAAGAGAAGAGAAATAAGAATATGAAGTTATTGAACCATTTGCATATTCAGCAGATCTACTCCTGAGGGAAACATCAGATTCTTAGTTCAAACACACCTTTGTAAAAAGGTGCAACTGATACCTAATGTATCAATTAATACGACTAAGTTTGAATACTTGTCTCGTCTGTCTGAAAGAAAGGTTTGATGTAATCTGAAAGTTCCAGTTGATCTTTGCTGAAGTTGGTTGATGAAAAAGAACCAGTTTTGAGTCAGAGAATCTTGGAGAGTGGAAAAGACAAGGCCGAATACAACAGCCTGGCACAAGCTTAGGGTGTGGAGAGCATTTTTCTCACATCCTCTCAGAATTCCAACAAACCACCCCCTCGGGGAGGGTCACATGAAGTACAACCTTTAAAGTCTGCAAAGATTCACGCCTCTCAAGATGGGCTTGTCCAATGAGAAAGTCCGGAATCCCAAGTGGGAGTTTTGAGATACTGGGGTGTTTTTATGGCCCTTTGTTTGAAAGCATGGTAAGGTGCATATGAAACTACCTGAAGGCTATGTGTGTTCATTCAAATAAAAGTTTTCCTATGAATTAATTAGTAGAAAAGTCCATTCCTACTGTGCCTTGGGGATTTTCCTTATGGAAAAGGCAGTGCTTTCCTCCACCTAAATTCCATTAGGTCATAAATGTATCTGGTGTCAGGGTTGCCATGGTAACCAGGGGGGGCCTGGTGTCATAGCAAAAGACATCCTGGCATCCAGTTTATTTGGTGAGGGGACTGTGATGATTTGTTAATCTAATGAATAATTGATTTGTTAAATCAAATGAAAAATGGTGTGTCTGATTGGTCCAGACGCTACAGAACTAAAAACGAACAATTCCTTTACTCCGAATTGCCGTTATTTGAAAGTGAAAGTAAAATGCACACACACTTTTACAAGCAATTTAAAAATGAAGGAAAGCAAGGAAAAGAAGGAACGCCCCCGCTCCCGCGGTGTTGTCACACGTCGATTAACCGGTGGGAAAATTTCCTCACCGTCACAACCATAGTGGCTTCCAGGTTAAAAATGAAGTATTCCTGCCCTTTGTGTTAACAGCAGTAATGAAAAAAGGGATATTATTCACAACCCATTGCTGGACAAATCTAACGGTCATGGGTGTATTCTTGTCAGCTAGCCACCGCTGTCACTAGTAATGTGGATTCAATTAAACTCTTAAACTGACTGTTGACACCAGAAGTGACTGTGAATCAGATATGTGCTATCAGAGCTCTGACCGTAACCTCTATCTCTCACTGTTTGCAGGTCAGATAAAAGCCAAGCCCTCGCAGCGCCATCACTTAGTTTATCCTCTCAGGTCTGCTAGAGGGCTAGATAAGCAATGGCTGTTGTTGGAATGGCTACACATTAAAACCAAACACGTAGACTCTTCCCAGAGACCTTGGAAACAGGATTTGATTAATCTGCATTTTTCTACACACTTTTAATCTAAAGCAATTTACTCTACACTAATTTCTGCCACAATTCCCTGGTATAAGCCAAGAGTTAAATGCCTTTCTCAGCTGCACAATGGTGAAGTCTCAACAGGTCATGTGTTGACACAACTGTATACTTTTAATTTCTTTCTTTTCTTTTTTTCTTTTTTTGTAGTAATTATAAGGAAAATCTGCTGAATTAAATATGGTAAAAGAGTTGGGAGTACTACACGCTTTAACTGCAAGCATTATCAAACGAACCAAAAACAATTAATTTGTCTTTTTTTACCTTTTGAAGGGGTGATCATTTCCTTGATCTTTTGAAATAAGTTTCAAAACTTCATTCCAATACATTTATTAAAAATAAGATATAAAAACAGCCTTTCTGAACTTGCAAATTTGCTGAAGTCAGTTGGATTGATAGATTAGCATATGACAGCCCACATTTACATGTCAGTTGGTGTAAATATTCAGTAAATTAATCCACTGTGAAGCAAAGAGGACCAAGTTTGACAGTTACTAACACCAAACACCTAATGATAGGAGTAACATGTGGGAAAGTCTGTCAAAACCTGTGACTGTGTGCACTTGCATATCCTTCCAAAGGAGCCTACCATTCAGAACGAGTGAATGAAGTTTGTTTTTAACAAGGTCCCTTATCATAGCCTGATCATAGAGCACAGCTTGAACCGCTACGCTACCACCACAGCTCACTGCGATGCTGTTAGGGTTCACCTAATAAATGTATCTGGTGTCAGGGTTGCCATGGTAACCAGGGGGGACCTGGTGTCATAGCAAAAGACATCCTGGCATCCAGTTTATTTGGTGAGGGGACTGTGATGATTTGTTAATCTAATGAATAATTGATTTGTTAAATCAAATGAAAAATGGTGTGTCTGATTGGTCCAGACGCTACAGAACTAAAAACGAACAATTCCTTTACTCCGAATTGCCGTTATTTGAAAGTGAAAGTAAAATGCACACGCACTTTTACAAGCAATTTAAAAATGAAGGAAAGCAAGGAAAAGAAGGAACGCCCCCGCTCCCGCGGTGTTGTCACACGTCGATTAACCGGTGGGAAAATTTCCTCACCGTCACCACCCTAGTGGCTTCCAGGTTAAAAATTAAGTATTCCTGCAGTAATGAAAAAAGGGATATTATTCACAACCCATTGCTGGACAAATCTAACGGTCATGGGTGTATTCTTGTCAGCTAGCCACCGCTGTCACTAGTAATGTGGATTCAATTAAACTCTTAAACTGA